AAAAAAAAATAAATAAATAAATAAAAAAAATAAATAACTTAGCTTATTTTAAAAATACATACATGTATGTGTAAATTACACTAATTATTCTCTGATCTTGATTACTGTTAAATGTGAATAAATTCAAAAAATGACAGAACTTTTCACAAACCTATATATATATATATATATGTATATTAAAGCAAATCGATATGTTTAATGTTTCATTTTACAAACTTTCTATGTATGATATGTAGGTATTACATGAAAGTGCTCATTGAATATTGATTACTGATGCATTATAATATAGATTCAAATCTAGTTAGTCTGTTTGATAGAATATGAAATACTAATAACATCACCGAACGAAGCTACACTTGCAATATATTATTTTCTTCACGAAATAATTTTGAATTGTTATGTTAAATATCTTCATCCTACTTGTATATATGGAGAGTATTAAGTTATTTGTGTACTATAAATGTGCGTTTAAGCTTAGTACATTTTGAATTGTAGTAAATATAAAAACAACATTACAAGAACTTGGTTTTCAGCTGTTAAACTTATTACAATGTCTTTTCGCATATAACAATCAAGAAGCTTTGCCAAATGCTAACATATTATTTGCAAAAATGTACTAAAAAGAAAGCCAATGCAATTTAGCCCTTGCCACAAAAAGTTTGACTTGAATTAATATTTTTACACTAGAAAGATATTTTAAAAAGAACATATCATATATATACAGGACAAAAAAAAAAAGAAAACTGTTACAAGAGAAAATTCGAACAATCATGTAGTTAGAGAGTAATACAACGCTGTGTTGAAAAGTACGTTTAAAGAAACAAGAAAGTGACATAGAAAACTGACCTCGCAATTATTCAGGAGCACGACGCAGTAGTAACAGAAAACAGAAAGGGCTGATAAATGATCAATACTTAATGCTTTTGTTAAATAATTTATAGTAAAAATTACTGTTCCAATTTTCATACTAATGTAATAATAAACGATCATTGTAACTTTTAACTGCCAATCATTAATTAATTTTATTGAATTATTTTTGAAAAATTTTAAGGAGTGCTTTGAGAAATGCTTTATGTTTTAAACATAACAAGCGCATGATGAATATAAAGTTACAATAACTATACAACGTTAACAAGGTCGAGTTATGCGACCAAACGTACAGTTTAAGTGAACATGACACGTGACGTACTTTTTTTTTTGCACAATCTTATGCATAAAACTACCATTTACCAGAGGATTCTACTTAACCATAACCAGTGCGTGTTTAACATGATTTGGAATATACCTGATTCTTTATCGACGTCCTCGTGAAGGAAGGATTCATTATCCTTCCCCTCAGGAGCTTTACGTACAGTTGTTGGTGGTGCACTGGAATCAGTCTCGCTGCTTGTATTTTCTCGTACGTTAGCATCATTTTCTGATTGTGGAACACTCGTAGTTGAACCGCCAACGTATGTCTGAAACATATAATTTCTTTGTTGTTTGACTTTAATTTTTTCCAAAGTTATCAAATTAACAAAAAAAAAAAAAAAAATATTAGTTTTCTTTGTTACCTGTTGTGCTTGTAATCTAAGACGAGCTTCTTCTTGAGCATCTTTTTTCGTAGTTAAAACCTTATCCCTTATTGAAGTTCTTCTTACGCTCTGAGTACGTGTATTTATACTTTGAGATCTGCGTACCCGTCTTCCCTGTGCTTCTCGCAATCGTTTACTTTCTTGTTCAGTTTTAAGTTCTACTATTCTTTCTCTAATTTCCGGATCTTCACAGATATCTATAAAATTTAATTTGATATTTAATTAATGTTTCGTACAAAAAAAATTTCTTTAAATTTTTTATTAACAGGAATATTTTTACCAGCTGGTGTTTCATCGTGTTTATTCTTTGCATTTAAATCAGCTCCATTTTGTACTAGTAATTCAAGAACTTCTAACTAAAAAGATAAAATAATTACAAAAAATAGATTTAAGTTAAATAAGTTGATTAATACAAAATTATAATGTTATAATTCAGTTCATACATGACCCCAGCAAGCAGCTGCATGAACTGGTTGCCATTTGTCATTGTCTTCAACATCAGTCGAAACATGTTGGTCTAAAAGAAATTCAACTACCCTTAAATAACCATTTGCAGCTGCAATGTGAAGCTAGAATTAAAAAATGAAAAGGATTACTAATAGTTACTTTTCAAAATTAATAAATTTAATAAATTAGTACATACAGGTGTAGCACCCTGATGATCTTTATATTCTAGATCACCACCTATAGAAGCTATATTTTGTAAATCTCGTAACATCTGAACTTCTATTGAAGCTCTAGTTTCATCTATTAATTCTTGAGTAACACCTCGTCGAGCCATTTCTCCTATAATCGTGTAAAAAGGCAAAAAATTATTTTCGTGCATTTCTTTATAATTTTAAACTTTTCAAGCAATTCTTAATTACAAATATTTTAAGGATTTTTACCTTCAATACAATCTAATGTTTTTTCATCTTCGCAAATATCATAAGGCATATTACCATCAGCATTAACAGCTAATAAATTGGCACCTTTAGCAATGAGATTTTTAACTAAATGCAAATGACCACAAGTAGCAGCAGCATGTAATGGTGTCCATTTTTCACTATCTTCTGCATTAACATTTGCACCAAACTCAATTAGCAGTTTCATCATTTCTTCATTGTCATCTATACAACACTGATGTAAAGCTGTCAGTCCATCCTCATTTGTTGAATCTGGATTCACTCCTTTCTTCAAAAGTCTCCTTACTAAAGCATACGCTATTTCTTAATATGCTGATTCATATACTTAGTTATGTTAAAAGCAATTGTAAATAATAATATTGTGAAAATCATGTCATCTTACCTTCATCAATATCATTTCTTGCTGCAGCTTCTAACAGCATCACACTGTCACTAAAATATATGTGACGTTTGTTACTTGTATGTCTGGTTTGATGTCGCATCCATTCTTTCTCGCGTTGACGCCATACTTTCAATTGTTGGAGTCTTCTGTGACGAGCCAAATGCAATCTCTCTTGTGTTGTTAATCTTTCTATATGTACCATTTCTGCTACTAAATCAGAATGTTCCATGGCTATATGTTTGTAATTTTTACAGCTGTATTTACCTACTCAAAAGAAATAAATTATACTTTGTTTTGCATATATTATTCAATATTATAATAGGTTAGTATTTGTAATAGTGAAACAGTACTCTTAACAGGCAAGGAGTTCTTAACAAAACAATACTATGACAAGAAGGCATTTGGAAGCTAATCAGATTACCTTTACACTTACAAAGCCATGAATGCATTCCAAGGTATTTTAAAATTTTGCGACAAACATTAGGCATCATTCTGATATAATATCATGTTTTGCACTTTCATTCAAAATCTACATGAAATTTGCTGCTTCATTGGGTATTCGAGTGCGAATGATATCATACTTTTATTCAAAACTCTATCATACTTATCAAGTACTTAGGTAAGCAAACATACATTATTTACACAAAACGTTCCAAAATACTCATTTGAATCATCGTATGAATCAGTAATAATAAGTTAATATCGCTCTGTAGTTTCTTTTTTCTTGAAATAAAATATACTTTCGTTACACAGTTTTTTTTTTTTAAATCTATGAAAAAAATACGTTTGTACTTAATAACTCTGAAAGAGCTGTTTCGCATAAAATTTCTTTCAGGCAAATTTTTGAGCACGATTGTGACGCGATTAAAAGATTAACATAATAAACAGATACATAATAAAATGTAAATGTGTATGTTTATTAAAGCTATTTTAATACAAAAAACAAAAAATTGCAAAGATACGTGTAATCAACTTATCGCGAAATAAAATCTTTGATTCTGTCTCTTACTTCATGCGACGCAATGTAATGTTTCTATGGTAAATTACATAATTAAAAAATCTCAATAGGCGACGAAATAACATATGCAAGGGCATTATTCCCTCGTTCTTTATTCTTTTTTATTCCCTTATCTCGATGGTACAATCAAGATCATGTATGCATATCCCTTGCACAAAAGACAAAATAGACATAGAGATAAGGCAACACAGATGGAGAGGGAGAGGAAAAAAAACAAGACAACGACGAAGGAAATATCAAACAGAAACAGGCTGGGGAGAAAATGCGAGTGTGTTTGTCATTTCGTGAGAGCGAACGCAGATGAGAAGAGACATCCAGGTTGCAGGGCTAGGGGGATGTCAATCGCGGGAGAGTGTCTACTCACATCGGCAAGTGATCGCTTGTTCGTTCACTTATTCGTTCGCGATCCAGCGGAATGCGGAAGTTTGCTCGTTCGTTCGTTCATTCGTTCGATTTTTTTCCACTTGTTCGTTCGGCACGAGACGGTGAACAGACGCGGGGCGGGGACACAGAAAATCTTTCGTCTCGCCGAGAAGTTGAGCTGAAAAAGCGGAGCCGAATGTCGCGAGAGAGATCACGACGTTGCGGAGAGAGAAAGTCACCGTGTTGATCGATCGAAAGCACAACGCAATCCATACGGTCCCACCGATACGGTTGATCTCACTGTACGAAATTGAACTTCAGAGAGGCTGAACGAGCCATCTGCCTTTGAATTCCCCAAAGAATCTCACGTTGCGTCCGTACTCGTCGCGGCGCCGTGCACGCGGGCCAACGCGTACCTGTCAGTCGCCATTTTTAAACTACCTGTAGAAAATCATTCGCGCGTTCCCTTCACCGCGCGCTAACTTCGCCTTTTTTCAAATTATTTTTATGCACCGACGACCAGTCCTTGGTGCGTGTGCGCCCTGCATGTTCTCGTTTTATTTTCCACGGATCGTGTACATGTAACGCGTGCGAACCGAGAGTTTGCAAAACCTAACGCTTCAATTACGTTTCTTGAAAATTGAAATATCGGTAGTTTATAAAAATATACTGCGATCTCGACGCTCTTTCCTCAATATGATTGCGTTAATTCATTGGAGCCTCTCTTAAAAGCCAACTTATCTTAATAATTAAATTATCAGCACATTTTTACCTGTTCGACTGTGTAAGCAACACGTTCAGCGAGATTATTAGTTGATAAAATTTCTTTATAACTGGTTCACGAGACTCTATCATGATTACATTTATTTAATTCCTTTCCCCCATTTTTTGTTTCTCGTATAAATGAGTGAGAGAAAGATACAAATCGAATAAGCTAAGCAGATATATATATTAAAAAGTAAAAATTTCCTATTGATAATGAATATATTATATCAGACAATTTATCAGAAATCAATTGTATCATACTTGAACGTGAACTATTGAAAATATTGGTTGGTCAAAAATATTTGAAATATATTTACATTAAAGGCAAATCAATCACATGCAATAACATAAAGTTTATTCTACGTTTTGATTTCAGCATAAAGTCATCCCTAAAATTTGCAAATCATTGCACGTATATTTCATAAATCAAGTACAACGTTCATCCAAGTTCAATTACGAAACGTGATCGCAAAAGTTCACGAATTAATCTCTTCAATTAATTTTCCTTTGCAAAAAAAATTCAATCGATTCGTGGGCACTGAAATGCTAGCGTCGCGTAGCGGCAAATGATGGAACTAACAACTACTCTGTCATGCGCTATTGCGCATCTCGTCTGATCATGTGATCTAACTTATTCTTATCGCACGCTGTTTCCTTTCTTTGTCTGCGCAGGTACTACCACCTGTACGCGCATCGGAGAAGTAATACTAGAAATAGGATAAGAACATGTCATCGCTGTCATCTATTGGTTCCAATTAGAACTGAAGAATATACCGATAATACTTTGATTGCGCCATCTATTAGAGACAATCAAAACAAAAAATTCTAGCAGCATTGGAGAAATGGCAGTATCTGTATAGACAATATGGAGGTTTACGCCTTTAAATAAATATTACGAGATTTAACAACAAGCTATAATAATAACTATTTATTAGTATTAATGTTTAACAAGATTTTATAATAACCGTTTGCTTTGACTGATTACGAACAACTGAAAATACAAAATATTTTCTACTTTTTTATTTGCTTCATTTTAAATTAGCGTCACTGCTCGTTAAACTTGCTTTTTTAAATACTCGCGCCGCTACAACAATGCGGTGGCGCGCATATTTTGAAAACGAGTTGATTACAAATGAAGAAAGAAAAAATAAAATAGCGGAATAGATATTGTAATTTCAGTTGTTAAGAATCAACTAAAGCAAACGAACATCATAAAGATCTTGTTATATATAAATAAATAGTTATTGTTACAGTAAGTTTCTTGTTAAATCTCATAATATATTTATTTAAAGAAGTAAACCTCCATTATAAGAAGGATAATAACAAGAATAGTATATGTCGTATGACTCAACTCAATAAATAATCTTCGGTGCAAATATGCCGACCTTGGCTGATATTTTTCAATTTTAATTCTCATCATTAGTAGCGCTGCAGTGTGGAATCTGCCTAAATCGGTATGACAGGGAATGACAAAAGTGAACGAATCCCCCCAATGATTCTAACAAGTGTGATATAAAAATCTATCGAATGTTACGTCTATTTTGTACTTCGTCTATGGTTCTAACTAGCGTGTGACATTAGATTGTATGTATTGAGTGATAGATTTGATTTATATCATTCCCTGTGGTTGTACCTCATTTTCAATAACAACAGCGGTGTTTGATAATAATGAAACGCGAACTTTCGTCGACATCGAAAGAAAATCAACCCACTTCGTCGTCATGTATTGAGAAGAGAAGGCAAGAGGGAAAAATTCGTTTAGCTGTTGTCAGTGGATTTTTTTCAACTGTCGGAAGTCTATTTGGTAAATTCGCCGGTGGTGTTGAAACCGATTCCATTGTAAGCAAAGTTTCTTATAACTGTTTCTTTGTACGTGTTTGTACAAAATTAATTTGTTTATTTTTTAATAAGTCCGGATTGCTGCTTAAAGGAGTATTTTTAGTATTAATGGTAACAAGCAACACTGTGGGCTGCACATTTTTCGTTAAAGCACTCAATGCCAGCGGATCTTCTTTACCATGCACAATAACTAGTGCCGCCACCAGTTACATTTGCTCGGTACTTATCCTTTCATCGATATATCGAAATAAGAACACAAAGGAAAGAGAGCATATATTTAAATCTAATTTATTTTTCCTTAAAGGCTTTCGCGGGTTCCTTGATTTTTAATGAATCAACGTCACTGATTTGGTGGTGCGGTATATCCTTCGTTATTCTGGGTTTATTGCTCATCAGCTGTACTCCATCCAAAGATGATTATGTACCTTCCTTGAAGAAGTCGAAAAGCCAGTAACTTCTGAAAATAATTCGTAAACGTCTTCCTGCTATTTTTGAACATCACATGTACTTGGTTTTATATATTTTTTTTTACAAGCGTAACAGCACTATTTATTTCAATATGTATTAAATTGAATAAATAAACAACTATGTTGTTTAAGTCCAACTATGTTGAAACTTTCTTTAAGGAAATCGCGAGATCTTTTTCTTTTCTGCTTTTATTTCAATTAGTTCTTTCTTTTCTTTTTTTTGTTAAATTATTATTCTTTTTTAAATCTGTGAAATCTTTATTTCAAATCTGAATCCGTCTAAATTGAATATAACATTTAGGATAAGGTAATCAAAGGTAATAATATATTTCAAATGATGATGAAGCTTTATAAATGTGTGCATATGACAATTAATGACAGACTTGTTTTTGGTTCTCATTTTTCTCTTTGAAAAGCAGTCTCTTTAAAAAAAAAAGAAAGAAAATACCACCGAGAAACCGGCAAGGAAAAGACCTGGAGTATACTTATTTGGAGAGTATACTTATTAAAGTGGATCTCCGTGTCTGTAATAGCACTGGATAAGAAACGCGGGAGAAAAAAGAATAGAAGATTCTTCCGCCCTATTTCCTACTACGCGTGGAACTATACAAATTCCTTTTTGACTGAATTGAAAACGAAATTTCTGTTAAAAGTTCGCAGTGACTTAGGGTTTCTAGTAAAGGTAGACTACTTTTTCTTTTTCGTTGTACAAAGGAACTTGAGTACAAATATTCAGTCTCAAAATTAAAAGAAAAGTTTCAAAGCTGCTTGTGCGTGAAAATAATTCTAACTACAAGAAATGCTAAATTCAAAATTTTAAACTCAATAAAGTGTAATGCTTAATCTAAAGAAATGATCAATTTGTTGAATAACAAGTATAACGTATTCATGCTGACTGTAAGTGCACACACGCAGGTAGGTTAACGTAGGTTAGTGACAAAGCATCCGACTAGTCCAGGGTTACTAGCATTTCGTTACAAAGCTAGTATATACCCTAGTTAAAAGTGCTTATGTGCCTGTGTACCGAGCTGTCCAAGAAGTTTCAGTCAACCAGGTTTCCAGTTTGTGGGGCAGGGTCGTGGTTCATAGGTGTATCATGTAACCGAGGAGGAGAGTATTAGAAGAAGAAGCAATGTAAAAGAAGAGCAAGAGCATGGCTTTATCGAGCGGCGGCTGCGCCGTGGTGTTGTTCACCACACTGCCGCCTACCAGCAACAACAGTTCAAAATATACTAGACTTCCCCCCTCCCTCTTTCTTCTCTTTTCTAATTACAAGTAAATTTTCTTACTACTGCTCTGTTGCACATTTACGTAATTAATAAACGCGTGATCTTCTGAAAATCTCTTTATGACCTTATCAATCGTTAATCCGAGTTACTCGACTCGTTTGACTGCACCTCTCGATAGATTTGATCATTATTCAGATCATCAATAGCACTGTAAACATTGAGTACCATAGCAATCGTTTGCCTACAAGCTACGATCATCGATCGTTCGACGCAGTTATAGGAACAGTCAACCATTTATCGAAAACAATTACCGGCTAATCGTGTTAAATTTCCAAGATTATCCATTTCGAGTGTTTTTATAGCTTGTGCGTCCTTAGCGTGGCAAAGCCTTCCGTTATTCAGCGGGTTCTACTGTCTGTGCACGCGCCTTACTTCTCCCCTCCACGACGTTTCTATCCCCACCATCGCTCGTTCCCCCACCTTAGTGACGAGTGCCCCTAGATTCTGGCAACGCTTCTCGCAAGACAACGGGACAGTTTTCATACGGCGCACCCTCCTGCCAATCGAGTCGAATATCGGATAGTACCGATAGCGAGCGAGCCCTGTGCGTTACGCGGTTCGCTATCAATCAACTGGATCGGCTGTTTCGCTGCTTGCTTGCACGCGTGTACACGCGTGTATGCGACCGTGTTAATTAATAGCAAAGGTGCCTTCACGTGAAAGTGTCGACAGGTAGAGTGAATTATGGCTCTCGTACGATCAATCGGTTCTACTATTTTGTAAAACCTGTCGCACTCGTTACACCGTACATCTTTCGCGCTTTACTTCCCCCTGCTTCTTCTTGTTTGCTTTTCACCCGCGGCGCACAATGAACAACTTCGTTGGATTCAACCGACCAGTTACAATAACCGGGAGATCAATTAACGCGGAAGCCAGGCGATTTGCAAGGCGAACAAAGAACAGCTCGGAACAATGTAAATACGGCGAGAATCTTGTGTAGTAATTTCAAGCCGCCGTGCCGGGGGATTTACAATTGTCAGTTACCTCCCCGACGTGATTCATTAATGCACGAGGAAAAAAAAACACAGAGCTTGTGCTTTCTGCTTGTTCTTTGCTTATGCATTTACGGCACTTACGGCACTTGATGACAAACATTGGCTCCGAGGCAAACATTGTGTTTGCTTATTCGTGATTCGAAGCTTGCGCTGAATATGAAAAAAATAACGACACGAGTGTGTTCCGTCTAATGCATCGTTCGATACAACACTTTGATTATGAATTAATGTCAGTAACCCATTTTAACGCGATGCAAAATTCAGTGCTACTTTGCACGAGCACTCTACTGTCGTTATGTAATATTTATGAAAAGATCAAAATCACACACACACGCTATCACCACGAGGAACATCGTGGCCATTTAGGTCATCGTGGTGGAAAAAGTTCGGCGCAACTTCGCCTCTTGCTCCCTGCTTTCTTTCCTTTTTTCTTTCCAGCCCGGCAGTCCGGTTGCTCTTAATTCTTAACTTGAGTTATTGTCCCCGTCGAATTCGACTGTTGGCAGGATCTCGCCGGACACGCGAAGACCAGCTTCGATTTCCCATCTGGCAGAATTCCAACGAATACGGCGAAACCGAAAGACGCGAAAACTTTTTAATTTATCGCCGTGAGGGAAAGTAACGATTGTGCCCGTTAGCCCGCGTTTCATTCTCTCCCTTCTGTGGGCGAGAGGGAGGATTCTCCTTTCTACGGATGCATCGTGCATTTAAATTGTCAGATGAAAATCGGCCAGAAACTATAGGATATTCATCCGACTAAATGAAACAAAAGCTCTCTCCTTTAAATTGCACGCTTTCCACCGCCCAAATGATAACTTGATCGCCAACGATGAATCTTCTTTTGTTCTGCTATTTTTATTATTTGCTTCAGTCAAAGCATTCCGAGATATCAATATACAAACGATCGTTTATTTCTATTGATACTGCAAGCATCCTCTCCCTCTCCCTCCCGCCCGTCTCGTAATTCGCTTGTTTTCAATCGCTTTGCAGGCATTCGCGAGTTTTTCACGAGCGTAACACGCACGAGAGTTTGCCGTCGATCGTTGTTAAGAATTTCCAGCAAGGCACGATCGTCGGGAATTGCACGCTTGCATAGATAGGTCCCGGTGGAGAAAGCAGAGAAGCACAGAGTAACGCACATGCCATGACACACATACAAACACAGGCAAAACACGCATACATTACAAGAAAGGGGTTTCGTGACAATCTGCTTGATCTTCAGTTACGAGCAAGATTTACTGCACCAAAGTCCCACATTTTTTTTCTTTCTTCCTTTTTTTTTTTTTTTT